AGGAATGAGAGGATGCGATGCCAAAACGTTCTGGTAATAATAACGCAGTTTATAAATGTTTATTTCAAAAGTCATAAATAAACTTCTTGTGTTTATAAATTTTGATCTAATCAATATTTTTTATACTCGAGTTTTGTAGGTCTTTTGAAGATGAAAAAAAGTACTTTACTGTTCTCGTGGAAATTAACGGAAAAAGTTATAAGCGAAAACTTGAATTTACGTAAAAATTATACAATTAACCACCCTGTAAACAATCTTCCCCCCATTTTTATGACTGTGGAAACTAATATGTTATTGTGCATAATATTTAGCATCTATAGCGATAAATTCTGCTTGCCGAAACAAAAAGTCGCGCCCAACTCTACATTTCCTGGCCTATAATATTTACTATGAATTAACCAACTTTATTTTATTGTCATGTAAAGTTTTAAATACAGTGTGTCTACTTAAGTTGGAACATATGGAAAACTTTTTTATTATTGGTTTTATGGAAAAAAGTTATTCTTCATAAAAAGTTCTGCATGATCCAAAATCTAAAATGCAATCTTCAGTTATCAAAATTTCTCAGTCATATACGAGGTGTATCAGAAATTATGAATTTTGCTCAAGAATAAAGTACCCTTATTTTTGACAATACAGAAGAGTGTTGTAAAGAAAAGTTATGTTAAATTAAAAGTTATTTTCAAATATGCAATTACAGCTATTTAGCATGAAGATTCAGGTTTTGTGATTATTTACGTTTTTTTTTATAAATTTGCATTTATCTCTCTTATCTGTTAAAAATATGATAACTTTTCCATTTATTAATGTCTATGAACAACTTTGCAATTTAATTATAATAATAATACAAATAATTTATAATGTAAAACGTAAATAATCACAAAACACTGAATCTTCATGCTAAATAGCTGTAATTGCATATTTGAAAATAACTTTTAATTCAAAATAACTTTCCTTTACAACACTCTTCTGTATTGTCAAAAATAAGGGTACTTTNTAAATTGTACGTAAATCGAATGTGGATATTTTATTTGTGGAAATATGTTAAGTGCATAAGAAATATTGTCAAAAGTCAGTAGGTCGCTTGATTTTCGGCGAGCCGTGCCGCGGCAGAAGGGTAGGGGGAGCGAACGACAGCGAGTCCGAAGAAAATGACGATAATATTCATAGTCCTGCTGTTAAAAATGCGAAATTCGCTTGAAAATAATATATTTGACAGTCTGTAACTCCGTTGTTTTTAAACGAATCTTGACGATTTTTTTTAACTTAAAGCTCTTTTCTTAAGCTTTCCGAATATGTAATAATATATAACTATACCACGCTCGTGCGTCGTATACTTCATTTTGCAACTAAGGCTAAAAAATAAAAAAAAATTGTAGGTTGCAAATTTGAAATAAAAAAAAATTATAGATTTCAATGTATTATTATGAAATCTACCATGAAAAAAATTAGTCCGATTGTGGAAGATGCTCGGGATCGTCCAGACTAATAATTAGTTAATTTGTTTATAAGGCCATAACTTGTAAATTATTCAACTTACCGATTCCAGATTTCGTGTGAGTTATTAGACAGTGATAAGGAATGAGAGGATGCGATGCCAAAACGTTCTGGTAATAATAACGCAGTTTATAAATGTTTAATTCAAAAGTCATAAATAAACT